TGGGTAATAACCATGGCGCCTTTTATATAAATGGCGGAGAAACTGTTTCTGTACTTGCTCCAACATGAGGTTATGCTTTTTGTCACACGGAATCCAAACCACTGAGCACGTCTCCAATATACTTCGTACCAGTGATACATAAAGCACGCAGAGCGCCCGATCTGACAGATGAGAGGCATTTCTAAGTACAAACCCTAGTCGTCGGTATGCCATCATCGCAACTGACTTTATGTGGGCACAGAATGTCAGACGACTATCAAATATTACACCGAGGTCACGTACTTGTGTAACCCTTGTAATCGGCGTATTACCTAACAAGAAAACAAACTCGCGCGGCTGTGGTGATCGGGTAAAGCTGATCATCTCACACTTTTCAGGATTGAAATATAGCTTATTATTTTTACTCCAAATGTGCACCCTATCAAGATCACTCTGCAGCGACACAGCATCTTCCGCACTTTTCACCGATCTGACCAATTTCATATCGTCAGCGAATAGTAACACGATGGAATCCTGTACCACCTCTGGGAGATCGTTGATCATGAGAACAAAGAGCAGTGGACCCAGGTTCGACCCCTGACTAACTCCAGAAAGCGTTCGGTAGGGACTAGACACAAATGGCCCGTATTTTACGAACTGCTCCCTATCGGACAGATAGCTTGCAAATAATTTAAGAAGTCTCGGCGAGAAACCCATGATCCCTAATTTTCGCAATAACACGTCATTGTCCACCCTGTCGAAAGCCTTCTGGAAATCGAGGTAGACAACGTCAACCTGGTGACCCATTTGAAGCTCGCTTGACATGTAGTCCACAAGATGGACAAGATTAGTAGCAACAGATCGATTTGGCAGAAAACCGTGCTGAGCATCCGTAATATATGGCCGACACTGTGGCAGCAAATGCCCATGCATAGTCATTTCAAATATCTTAGCGAGAGAGCAGAGTATAGCTATGGGTCGATAATTTTCAACAGCAATTTTCGACCCGGTTTTGGGAATTGGAGTGACCCGAGACTGTTTCCAAATTTTAGGATATTTACCCAGCTCTAACACTAGGTTAAATAAAAACGTGATAGGCTTTACAAGGATGTCAATGCAACCTTTAATTATAAACGCTGGAAAAGCGTCAGGTCCTGGCGACGTACTGGGCTTCAATTTCTTAATAGAGGATCTTACATCAGACTGTGTGAAATAAGATACATGTACGTGCCTACTACGGGAGTCTGCAGTTGAACTAGCTGCACCCCAGTCAAGAGAAGGCTTCTCTGGGAGAAAAACTGAACTGAAGTATTCTGCAAACGCTTCAGCCGCCCTCTCGCCACTACACTCATTGCCGCATCTTGCCACTCTGTACTCTATACCGCCCCCACTTCGCAAACCGTTTACGAATGACCAAAACTGTTGCGGATTCGTACGTATCCGGTTCGATATCATAAGCATGTAGCTTTTATAGGCATGAGATATATCTACCTTAATTTTATATCGTAATTCTGAAAACTTGTTGTAGTACTTTTGATCGCCAGAAATCTTCCATAGGCGATGATAGTTAGCTTTGAAGCTTATATCACGTATGATTGATTTCGTATAATACACAGGATATGTCCTACTGCTCAAAGATCGCCTACGCATCTTCATTGGCATACAAAGATCAAAAATATTATAAATTTCGTTATAGAAAAATTTAACTGCATCCTCAACATCTCGGATTACGTACAATGCTTGCCAATCTACAACTAGGATCAATTGATAGAGTTGATAAAAATCTCCTTTAGCAAAGTTCCAGTCTAAGTGATGACTAATATTTGAAGGCTCTATTCTAGGTGATCTACTACTACATTCGTAAACAAATTGCAAAGCTAGTGGCGGGTGATGGAGGTCAATCTTACTGAGCACTTCATGTGGGGCAGCTGTACATACCTGCACTGCATTTCTCATCCCGCTACCGGTCAGCACCACATCCAGACATCTCCCATTTATATTTGTGATGTTATTAAACTGATCGAAATTACAAATTACAAGAAAACATTGAAAATACTTATTAATACTGTCACTAGCACTGTAGAGGTTTAAGTCTCCTAGGACTATAATTCTTTCACTGGAGTGCTTGGCACAGACTTGTTCTACACTGTGGAACCACTCAAAATAGCGTTCATCACTAGACGAGGGTGATAAATATACAACATTAATGTATACATAGCATCCATTCACTGTAAATCGGGCCCAAATGTCCTCACAATGCGTGGTCTCGTAGGGTTGTATACGTTCAATATGAAGTGGCGAGCGGGCCGCTAACATCACACCCCCGCCACCGCGCGTTAGTCTATCCTTCCTCAAAATCCGCCAATCATCGGTGCCGCAAACCTCTGCATCATGAACCGACATATCCAGGTTGGTTTCGGTAATCGCCACCAAATTGACATCAACCAGCAACGAGAGATTAGTTCGAAATACAGCAAGTTTAGTTTTGAGCCACCGTACATTCTGGTAATAAACCATCACTTGATGCTTTTTGTCTTCACGCCTAAGCTCATTGACTTTAGTTTTCCTTCCTGCTCCTATTTTGGGTTCCACGAAAGGGCAGCGACCAAGGATGTTAATAATGCTGATGCATCATCAGGACCTTTAGCATAATCATCATTCGGCTACCTGCTGCTTTCATCCGTGGCAGACGCTATACCAACTAAGCAACGGAACGAACCAGCGGACCTCTTGAATTTTTCTATGTGCTTGGGTCGTATCTTTGTATTTGGTTGTTTGTTGAAAAAGCGTATTGTAAACAACTGTCCCGTGTAAACAGCAAAGAGGTGGAGTAGGAGTCGTCTGAGAGGGACGCTTGCATTGTACATTTGAACTTGACCTTTGTCTTTATGTTTCAGATATTTCGATTCGTGTCCCGTACTGCAAGTGCCAGGCCGAACCTACCCCGTGTCTGAGATGTATCTAGATGACATTCAGTCAAAATACGACTTAAACCTGCCTGCTACTGTCAAAAACACCAAGAAGGAGGACGGACGGCCGGTTGTTAATTGTGAGGAGGTGGGTATACACTGTAGCTGTACGAGTAGGCTTTAAATTTTTGTGCACTTTAAGTTATTTCATATATAACGTTTAGTAGCAGTAGAGCTCCTTGTGCAGTTCATCCAGGGAAGTACTGCTACCTTACCTGTTTCTGGCTCCAAGCAGTAATATGAGCACTACTGCGTTCCGGTTTTGAAGGGTGCGGATAAAATTACAAGCACATGTAACTTATCGACTTATGTCTCGGGGTAATGGGCGCAGTGGCAGTGCCCTTTGAATTGCACTGTTTTGGACAGGCGAGTCGTTTAACATCAGACCCACGACTTATTCGTCCCTTCACTTGGTATAATACAAAAGACCTTGTGTAACATAACACGCGTTACCCAATACTGTAATAAACGCTCATGATACATGTATTTCTATTCAACAACAATAAAATTATTGTTGAATTTAAAGCACACACTCATAGCCCCGCACTAGAGAAACCCTGTATCGCGGATGCCATGGACACACACACAGACAACCATAAATACACCCAAACTAGCGAGAGAAATATATGTAGGTCATACAAATATTTCTCCGAGCCTGGGAATCGAACCCGGAACCTCTGCGTGACAGTACAGCAGAGTAACCGTTCGGGCACGATGGCAGACATTTAAGGAAGGGTTTATCTAGTGCTAACTCTTACATTTTGAACCTTTGAGTTTTTATAGATAGACTTTAACTATAATAAGATTATTTACTCGCTTTCGGTCATAAATCAACAGCTATATTGCGCTCTCTCTCCCACTTCCTTAGTGTTGAGCGTAGTGTTTTTGACGGTAATTAAATATTGATATGTTTAGTTTACATTCTTTTCGTGGGAGACAGGCGTTATCGCCTGTCCACCACCGGGGCTTTTTCATATGATACCAAGTGAAGGGACGAACAAATCGTGCGCCTGGGGGTAAACGACGTGTCTGTCCATAATAGTTGCAGTACCGCTCAGTACTTTAAATCACAAAGATCTAAGGGATACTGCCACTGCGCCTGTCACCCTGAGATTTTAGTTCACAAGCCTCGTGTGCTTGTAATTTCACCAGCACACTTACCCTTCAAAAGTACATTACTGGTAAGCGGGAGAGAGAGCGCAATATAGCTGTCCCGCTCCATAATTTATGCCTGAGTCTACAGTGAGTCAATAATCTTACTATAGTGTGCCCGATTTAAAATGTTTTCCAGTTGGTGGAAGTGATAAAGGCGGTGGACAAAGAGCACAGCACGGGTGCCATACTCGTATTTCTGCCTGGTTGGGCTGAGATCAAACAGACCAGGATGCTGTTGGACGCTGCGTTGAGTGGATATATGATTTTGCCTGTGCATTCTAGGTGAAAATTTCTTCAATTTATATTTAAGTTAATATATTTTTTAACCGACTTCGAAAAAGGAGGAGGTTCTCAATTCGACTTTTTTTGTATGTATGTTACGCGATAACTCCGGTATTTGTGAACCGATTTTCATGATTCTTTTTTGTTGGAAAGAGGGTACCTCCATAATGGTCCCATTTCATTTTGAAGAAAATCATCCACCTCTGAGGGTGGCTGATCATGCATGAATATTCATTTTTATAAATAGCGCCTAAATTTGACTTAAGGAGCAATTATTGTAATGGTTGGTTTTGCTTTTCTCCAATTCAAGGCGTTTTTCTCTCTCAATATACTTTGAGTAGTGAGAATCGATTATTATTATCTCCTGTGTCAAGTCCCGTATAGTGGCGAACTAGGAGATATTTCAACTTGGCAAATAGACGTAATGGTTTTTTAGTACTCTGCACTGAGATTAAATTATTAGGCTAAAGACATTGCAAGAATGTAATTAGGTTCAACGATTTTATTTCTCACTAAGAATTTCCATTCACTTAACACGAGAAAAATAAAACAACGTGATTACAATTAAAATAACGAACAACAAAGATTAAGTATTAAAATTATTCTAAAAGTCCGTCACTCCGTTTTTCTATTTTAAAATTCTTCTATATTGTTATTATTGTTTTTTGTTCATAAGATCACACAATCGGTAGTTTTCAGAACGCTGTGTACAGTTATAATTGGAACGCAGATTTACTGATGTTTTTTTTTTAAATAATATTGTTTAAAAATAAAGCTGTAATCTGTTTCCTGTAATTTGTACCATTATAATAAAAATAAATAAAATTTTACAATAAGTAGATAGTTACTTATTTAAAGGTGACTGAGTTCGTTCACTAACATAAATGTTGATACACAAAATTAACAAAGATACATAGAACGGGCAGAACTAGAAGTGACAAGCTTGAAATTTAATTATGATGAGACGTTTGGTACTTTCAATTATTATTTTATTATGTTTATATTTATAAATGGGACATGGTCATCTTTCTAAAGATTAGAAACATGAACATTCTTTCTTATTAACACGTCTGAAATGTGGTGCTGGCGCCAAATGTCAAGAATACCGTGTCCAGCCTGCTGCACTAACTCATGATAGAGAATGCACAGCGTTTGTCTTCAATCTACATGCAGCGTGTGATACGCTATTTTGATCACGTGACACGTACACGTGCTGACAACTTGGAGAGTTTGATGGTGACAGGGAAGGTGGAAGGACAGAGACCTTGAGGCAGGAGTCCCCAACAGTGGTCGGATCAGTTCTCCGACCGACTGGAGAGCAACCTATGGAGACAGATGATTGGCAGATTGAAGTGGAGTCACGATCCTCAACAATTAGGAAGCGATTAAGAAGAAGATATTTAGAATAATGATATATTTTTTGTTTTCTTTACTAAAAGTTTTTTTTATTAGTGTTAAATATTATTATTATAAATATTGTTAATTAAATACCTTTAATGAACAATACGCCAACTTTATTTTTTGGTAATTTTCTGTAATTTTTGTAAACAGTAATATTTATTTACTAATATTACGCTTCCCGAATTTTGTGAAAAAAAAAGAAAATAAAAACAGAACAGAACAGAAAATTGATTGGAGAAATCGAAATGAGTTTTTTTTTAATTTATTCATTTTGAATCACTGTAATGCCGTATAATCATTAATAAAAACCAATTTTGGTAGCAGTAGAACTCCTTGTAAAAGAGTTTGTCCAAGGAGGTACTGACCGTACTTAAAACGTACTCGTGCGTGTCTATAAAGAATTTCGCACAAATAGTGTTGGTCTCACCTTGTTCATATTGACAGACTGTCAACAACAGAGCAGAAGAAAATGTTCGACACGCCGACCCCCGGCGTTCGCAAGATCGTCCTGGCGACCAACATTGCTGAGACGTCCATCACAATTCCCGACGTCACTATTGTCATCGACACGGGGGCGCAGAGAGAAAGTCGGTGTAGGGAGGCGACTGGTAAATAACAGAACTCTAAATGCAGACTTTAGTAGATTGCTCAACAAAAATGTCATATAATTATTAATACAAAGGTAGAACACTCAGAAAAAATTCCTTCGATCCGGCCAGATTCGAGCCGACTATAGCATACCGTGCCAGACGCTATACCAACTAAGCCAATGAACGAACGGCGGATCTCACGATTTTTTCTGTATGTTTGTTCTCGTGTCTTTGTATTTGGTTTTTTTAACGACTTTTTAGAAATCTTAAGTATTTCGTCACCCAATTAGCTACCTTTACAGCTACCAGCCCTGGCTAGAGATGTCGCTATTCATGGTATTCAAATTTGTATTGAATTGATATTCAATTATTTTTTATGTGAAATTACTCCACTAGTTTGTTATCATTATTCAATACAAAGATCGAACACAAAAGAAGAAATATTTCGACCCGACTGCACTCGAACCCGCCACCACGGGTTTCGGTCCCCATTGCTTTACCCACTAAGCTACAGGTCGAGTTACGTAGTCGACGAATCCTATGTGTATAGATTTTTGCATTGAGTGTTCGGCACTCGACGTAAGCGACATCTATGAGAGACTGCCTCTGTGGCCGAATGGTTACCATGCCGGACTGCCACGCAGAGGTCCCAGGTTCGATTCCCGGGCCGGGAGAAATATTTGTATGGCCTACATTTATTTCTCTCGTGAGTTTGGGTGTAATTTGTGGTTGTCTATGTGTGTCCATGGCACCCGCGACACAGGGTTTCCCTAGTGCGGGGCTATGTTGAGAGTGTGCGTTATTAAAAAAAAAATTTATGAACCTTCTCACTCAGCTGGTAACTTTTAATTTTGAAAATGTCATGATTGTCAACCCATTATATTTTGCCAGGTGCGGGTCAGTACTAACGTTTAGGCATAATGTAATAATAATAATAATAACAATAACGCACACACTCAACATAGCCCCGCACTAGGGAAACCCTGGGTCGCGGGTGCCATGGACACACACATAAACAACCACAAATTACACCCAAACTCACGAGAGAAATAAACGTACGCCATACAAATATTTCTCCCGACCCGGGAATCGAACCTGAGACCTCCGCGTGGCAGTCAGGCATGGTAACCGTTCGGCCACAGAGGCAGTTGAATAAGACAAGTAGTGTAACTCCACACAAACATAGCAGTCGTTTAGTGACGCACACTCTCACATAATCTCCCGGTGCACTCGCGTTGCATAGTGCGGGTTGTCTTACGCGCCATTCATTACAGAATTGAAACGTTCTGTTATATCCCAGTCCTGTTGCCTAAATGACGTAATGAAGTGACAATGCAAATTTGAGATATAACGGTTTTGCTATTATTTAATTTCAGGCGCTGCAAGTTTAGAAACGGTGTGGGTGTCACGAGCCGGAGCTAAACAGAGAGCTGGACGGGCGGGAAGAGTTCAACCTGGTAAGTATGTGTGTATATAACTCTAATAAGTAATTATTTATTTATATACCAAATGTTTAGTAATCTAGGAAATTAAACTATTTTTCAGCCCCCGTAGTATGCTCGATACAGCTGTTATATTTAGAAAGTATAAATTAACTGATTGTTTCAGGACACTGTTATAAACTTTACACTAAAGAAAAAGAAGAAGAGTTTATTCCTCATACTACTCCAGAGATACTCAGGTACTTAATATCTTCTATGTTGTTGCGAATTATTTTTTAACCCCCGGCGCAAAAGGAGGGGAGTTATAAGTTCAATGTAGCTCAAATAAATTGACTGATCTCAAAGGGTTTTTTTTTGCTTGAAGGCAAATTAAATCGTGATAGTTCTTAGCTATATTTGATGGACGTCTGTTCAACCATGGAATAACTCTAGCGGACTGCTAAACGTCATACAACACAGAGTTGTCGGGCATTTAGTACCTAATGGTACACGAGATGTCGCGACAAGTACCAAATAGCAATTTATTCAAATAATTGTTTTACGTTAACGAGCTGCAGTTTATCAAATTTTACTCTGATTTCTAATGATAACAAACAGATCTACTAGATGGCGCTTATTTCACGGATTTTTATGGACAGTGGCGTCTCTTTGTTTAGGACTAGCGCCATCTACCCATATTAGCAAGCGGTAATTTATAAACTAGTTTGTAACACACAATGCCATCTATTGATACGCATATTTGTCAAAATTTAGAAAAATAATTATTTGAATAATAATTTTATGCCTATTCACTCTCACCTTGAAAAGGTGACATCCAGAAATAGAGACGAAATGTCATTTAATTTGTTTGAAAACTATTCTGCCATATCATTACTGTGACAACTGCGCTCCGATTGGTCAGCCCGAATTCGAAACAATTGACGGGAGTCGTCAATGGGTGTCGTCAAATTGTTTCACTTCAAAACGACCAGTTAACTTGAGCTTTGCTGTAATGGACGAAAATTACAAAATTACATATTTAATAACCGATGAAATTTGATTCCGTTTGTTTTGTAATTAGATGTTTTGCTGTTTTTCCCCACACCACCGATGGAACAGCACGCTATTGTTAGATATTATCTTTATTACAATAAATACAGAATATTTTTGGAATATACGGAGACGTACACACAGGTCAGTTGTTGGCGCTGTCTATATTTCAGTGCAAACGAGATTTGATATTTATAAGTGATGTATTTATATATTTATAGGGAGGTCAAGGAGTTGGCTATGGACCGTGAGGAGTGGAGGAGGCTACACCGACAAGAGCATGGCTCTTAAATAAAATGAATGAATGTATCACTGATGAGTTACCAGGATTGTATGACCCATGTGTACCACCCATTCGCACTAAGCGCTTTGCTTCCTCCTTTCTGATGTGTACGGCAAAGGAATGGAATACTCTACCGGCACCTATGTTACCAGAAAACTACAGTTTGGGGTTCACGTCGTCGATTAACATGACATGGCCAAGCGTGTGTCTGTTATATATAAATAAGTTTACAATAAATTTTCAAAAATTTTTTTATTGTCACAGAATACCTCTACAACAAACAGTGCTGGATTGTAAATCTTACGCACCAGAAGATAAAGTTCAAGACTTCCTCGCACAACTGCCAGAACCACCTAACCAGAAAGCTATTCAACTTGCTGTCAATGACCTTATTGATTTAGGTTGGTACAGGTTAAAAAATATCTTCAAAGTAGTTTCATGGGCTTTAAAATGACACAACACAACAATTATGGCAAATGGCGGGTTTTTTTAAATCCTCCATATTTAATACACACTCGAACTAAAATGCTGTAAAAATTAAACACGCATACAGTCATGGAGTATAAAAAAATTTGGTAATTTTTCTTACAGAAATAGTTATTTTTGATACAAGTGCGGAAAGTTAGTCATATATCGAGGCTATTACGTTTAATACACTTAATACATTTGCGAAAAAACTACATTGAAAGTAAAATAAAACAGTACATTTTAGGGGCGCGGCGCGCAGCGGTCTCGCGTAATACTCACCTCCGGTCATTGTTAATACTCAATTAGCCATTTTTATGGAAAATATTTTGGTATTTTTAAATGTAACCCTTTGTTTTATAAAACACCTATGCAATTTAAACAAATTAGATGTTTGTAAGTAAATATAGGTTTTAATGACGAACGACTTACGTCACAAAGCACATAAGTATTAAATAAATATACAACCTCTTTAGTTCGATGTTTAAGACTTGAAATAACAATAAATTTAAAAAAATGGAAAAGTAAAAAGCACTAGTGCACTAGAAAATCCAACTTTCGGCACGATTTGTACTACGAAAAATACCACGTTTGAAGCAACTCTATTAAAAAGAAGTAAAAACAATTATAAGACATTCTTAATAATATTACTGATAAGTATTTATTTATATTATTATATGTGGCTGAATTGCAATTCAATTTCTGTTTAGTTAAGGTTTTAAGCGAATGTTTAAATTTTGAACTTAAGTAATCTGCATGCTTGAACTTGAACCTGACCTATGTAAGGTTATGTATATGGTGCTACAAATTAAAAAAAACTCCTTACTGACCATGGCTGTAATGGAAAGATAAAAGGTCCATGGTTTTTAATTGGGGCATTATAGTCTAGATAGCCACCATGCACCGAGTTTATAACCAGAAATAGAGACGAAATGTCATTTAATTTGTTTGAAAACTGTTCTGCCAAATCATTACGGTGATAACTGCGCTCCGATTGGCTGACTCAAATTTGAAACAATTTGACGATGTCGTGGATTGTTTCATTTCAAAACTACCTGTTTAACTTGAGCTTTACTAAAATGGACAAAAATTGAAAAATTACGTATTTAATTACCGACGAAATGTGATTCCGTTTGTAATTAGATGTTTTGCTGTTTTTCCCACACCACCGAATGGAACAGCCTCCATTGTTAGAGATACTATCTTTATTACAATAAGTACAGAATATTTTTGGAATATACGGAGACGTACGCACAGGTCAGTTGTTGGCGCTGTACTATTTTAGTTTTCTAAATTTGTGATTTCAGCGCAAACGAAAGTTCATATTTAAAAGTGATATAAGGCGCATTTGCCTGATGAGTTGCCAGGGATGGATGGCCCTTATTTCGTCTCTATTTCTGGTTATATACTCGATGCCACCATGCAATCATTCTATTTACGAGCAAGAGTGATGACAAAAAAATTTTTTTCAGGCGCCCTGAGCGCCTGCGAGCAACTGACGCGATTGGGCTCGATCCTCGCGACACTGACGCTGCCGCCCCGGCTGGGCGCGGCACTGCTTCACGCTTGCATAGCGGGATCCGCCGTCGCCGCTGCTGACGTCGTCGCCCACTGCGCCGACAACCTCGAGCTTTTCGAACACGCCGCTGACCGGCGAGACGGTTAGTACATCCGCATTCGCGCAAATTAAAATATATGCAGTTAGTAGTAATGTCAGCATTACTGTGTTCCGGTTTTCAAGGGTAAATGTAAGCAAATGGTGTTAATGGTAATGTAGATTAATTTAATTTAATTGGATTTTGTAGTCGAAAAGTGGTCGCTTCCATAAGTTTTAATTGATTTCTTGAACGCATGTCATAGTCAAGATAAAAAAAACGACTGGGACACTTTTCGAATACATTTTGCGTGGTTGTAAAGTGCGTATAAAACGCTTTAATAGTGTCTGAGAATATTTTAAACTTTGATTCTTCTCCCGAGTCTCAGCTGTTGTTTTTAACACATAACTTTGTTAAAGCTAGGTAGACTAATTGTTTTCATGAAGATTAAAATATTAAAAAAAAACGTTAACAAATGTTGCAACATCACTGAAATAATATTTTATTCCAATATCATAGAAAATAGAAAGCTTTTTCATGCAGATAGATTCAATAAGGATGTTCAGCATCTGTTGATATGCAAAAAACCTGCATCAACAACAACTCTGGAACATAGTATAATAAGACAAATATGGTAACTCCATAAACAGCGCAGCTTATATTTTATAATAATAAAAGACGCGTGAGACGACCTGCGCTTGCAACGTGAGTGCACCGCGAAACTATACGAATACAAACCGCGCTGCTACATTTGTATGGAGTTACCATATATAGTAGACAAGTGTTTGTCTTATTACACTACGCTTTGTACCTTTTACAGTCATTGCGATTTAAAGCTCTGAGTGGCACTGCAACTGTTATGGACAGGCGTGTAACTTACCATCAGGCGCACGATTTGATTGTCCTGTCACTAGATATTATATAAAAAAATATATATATATTAACATGTTTCTGTGTTGAAATTTCTAGAAATCCGCGAAATTAAGCGTAAGTACAGCAATACGTCCGACCACGCTGCTTTACATTGGATCCAGGAAGTGTTCGAGCAGCTGCGGCGGGAAAAAGGTTGGGCGGATGTCGACGCGTGGTGTTCCCGGGAAGGCTTGCGGAAGGACCGCCTTAGCTATGTCAAGTGTGTGTATTTCCCCTATTCAGCTGTATTGTTATAAAGTTAAAAGCACAAGTTTGACACTTTGGACTTAGTGTTTGGCCCGGCACCCACAGACGAGACGGCGCACCAAAGGATTTTTATGTGACGCTGTAGCCAGCTTTATCATATACGTTGCTCTGATCTCTAAATATTCGATTATTTTTTATGTGAATTTACTCCACTAGTTTGTTATAATTATTAATACAAAGATCGAACACTCAGAACAAATATAAATTCAATAAAAATTTCAAATACAATGAATAGCAACATCTCTAGCCAGGGCTGGTAGCTGTAAAGGTATCTAACTGGGTGACGAAATACTTAGATTTGTCATAGATGGCGCTACGGTTAAAAAGTCGTTGAAAAACCAAATACGAAGACACAACAACAAATACATAGAAAAATTCGAGATTCGACCGCTGGTTCGTTCCGTGGCTTAGTTGGTATGGCGTCTGGCACGGTATGCTGGAAGACGTCGGTTCGAATCCGGCCGGATCGAAATAATTTTTTCTAAGTGTTCGATCTTTGTATTAATAATTAAAGCACTTGTGTTATGGTAATTGGAAACAACGTCCAAAACAATTACAGTCAAATAAGCAATACTCGACGAAATTAAAAAACAATGACAAGTATGCAGCTTCATTCGCATCATGCGTCTTAATTTGCTCGAGTATTACTGATTTGACAGTATGTCTCGGATGGAGAACAGGAGTAGATGCCCAGACCCGAGACAATATAGAATAGTTAGTTTTTACCAAGGATCGAACCCGGGACCTCAGAGATAGTGACACCTTGAAGCCGATGTGCAAGCCACTCGACCACGGACGTCGACAATATAATATATCTTAATAGTATGACGATATAGTTAAAATTTTCGATGGTAGTCGTAGCTTCAAAAACGAAGCTGCGGTGAACTAAGGAATATTGAGCCGGCAGCCTTCAGTATGCTTCGTAGAGAGAGAAGGCAGACATGGCAGCATCACAGCGATTTTAGTAGCAGCAGAGCTCCTTGTGACAGAGTTCGTCCAGGGCAGTACTGCACCTTACCTATTTCTGCCGCCAAGCAGTAATGTCACCCTTACTGTGTTCCGGTTTTGAAGGGTAACGTGCTGGTGAAATTAGTGACCGTCAGGATAGCTGGTCGCCTGTGGCGTCTGACACTGAATGTATATTCAAGAATTGCTACCTTTTCTAAATAATTGCTACCTTTGACATATTCTGAGAAATTTAAAAAACTAATTGAAGAAGCCTTTAATTCGTGAAAGCAGCAATTATTGGCAATACATACTTCTGGAAAACTGTTCCCTTCATGCTGAACAAAGTGGCGACCAGCCATCCTGACCGTCACGTGAAATTACAGGCACATGGGACTTGTCAACTTATGTCTTAGGGTGACGGGCGCAGTGGCAGTGCCCTTCACATCTTTGTGATTTAAAGCTCTGAGTGGCACTGCAACTATTGTGGACAGACGTGTAGCTTACTGTTAGGCATACGACTTGTTCGTCCCGTCACTTGATATTATAAAATAAAAAAAAATCAAAGCGAGGGCTGTGTAATTAGCGTAGTTACGCCCTTCGTGGTCGAGTGACGGTTTTTATGATGTCGCCGTCTCCGAGACATCGGGTTCGATCGCCGGCCGGGACTATGCAGAAAATTAACTTCTCTATATTGTCTCGGGTCTTGGTATTTGTGGTATTTTTTCCAATTTCCATAACACAAGTGCTGTAGCCACTTCCTTTGGAATCAGAACGTTTGTGATGTTGTCTTCAGACTTCTGTTTCAGACCATGATCCATAGTAAATTTGCACAAAGAAATTATGTAATAAATTAATTAGTTTGATAATTACTAATTTCAATGTAACAGTCTCAGTTCAACAGTGTTATACTGTCGAACTTTTCAATCCATCGATTTACTTAGGATTCAAAATGGATTTAAATTATCTCGACTCAAAGTGACCCTTGTATCCTTATCACAAACAGATTTTAAATTATGTGTTTAGCTGTTGTACAAAATCACTATCTTTCTGCAGATGAAAATCAATAATACGAAAGCAATGAATTCAATAAGAGATCGTGATAATTTAGAGGATTTTTGTGAATAATGTCACTTATGTGGTTCTACTTTTAAGCAGACGATATAACAACAACAATCTACTATTTTACAGCCATAACAAAATTGTACCTAGAAAAAATACTGCAGTCAGGTGTATTTGAATCTACAATCGAGCCGACAGACCTGAACAGGTTCTCGGACAACAATGAGTTGACAGCTGGTTTGTTACTGTCTGGATCTAATGCATTGTTGAAGACTAAAAAGCGCATAAAGACGAAAGGGAAGTTGATGACTACAACTGAATTAGTCACTAGGTGAGACTAACTGTACTTTACGTATTAGTATAGGAAAAAACACCATTATTATACTACGTAATAATAACTTGATTAGAATAGAATAACAGATAGACAAAATCAGTACGACGTAATTTTGTAACAGCATCCAATTTTTTTTTTTAAACGGTAAAACAATAAAAATGAATATCGAGTTCTAAGGTGTTCGCGATTGTTACACATAGGAAATGAAACTATTTTTCCGGATTTAAACGTATATTCGTTGACAGTCAACCGTGACAATGGGACCTGTAAAGGGCCCGAAACGTCGGTTTGTTTGAAAAAACAAATATACGCGATTTAAATCCGGAAAAATAGTTTCATTTCCTATGTATAACAATCGCGAAAACCTAAGAACTCGATATCTATAATATTTTAAATAAATAAATGATAAATGTAAACAAATCTGTTTGCAAAGAGCAACCCTCAAAATAGTACAACAGCACTCCTATTTGCATGCTCAAACGACAACATAGAAATTTTTATTACAAAATTCCATTTTAAATAATTAAAATCAACATTGTTGATTGTTGAGTTGATTTTAATGAATTCGTCAATTGACTAACAAAATTAATTTACAAAAACATGACGCATCAAAAATATCATTGCATAATATTAGTAAGAAAGCGGCGGGGTGAGACTGCAATAATTGTGGGAGAAAAGTCAAGTAGTCCTTGTTTGGATCTTAAATTCTGCTTGTGTGACTATTTAATTTTTGTTCTACCTAGTTCAACCGAATATATTGAGGCGCCATCTATTGGCGAAATATTAAACTATGAAGTCGGAGACATGTCTAAAGAAAGATGTATTTTGTTAAATTACGACGTGCTGTTGGCGCTATTTTCAAAATTGTTGTTCTTATCACGCTCAATAGATGACGTCGAAAACTAAATAGTTCCTATTGAAAATTCACGTAATACATTAAGGCGTCATCTGTTGGTGAAATATTGAACTATAAAGTCCGAGATAATTCTTGTTGGTGAATATGTTAAGTCGTCATCTGTTGGAGAAATATAGAAGTATATCAATCTATACATTTTATTTTTGTTAATTCAAAGGTGAAATACAATGTAGTAATACAATTTATTTAATTATAATTTTGTTTATAATCGTCGACCAAATCGTTTAACATCAAGTACTTAATGAGAATTCAAATGCCATTGAATTAATTTTTTTTATTTCTTTCAGCAATGGCGACCGAGCCCATATAGGCAGTGAGAGCGTAAATCATGGTATCACAAAAAAGACCGCCAATAACATATTTTTAACCTACTCTGGTGGTTACCATTCGACTGAACGAAGAGCACTTGTAGTGCATAAGACGTCTTTAGTACCACCGCAAGCGGCCCTGCTGTTTTGTAAAGGAAAAATTGATGCCTTTTATATGTCGGATGATGTAAGTAGAGTCTAAACAATATTGTTATTTGAATTTGTAGACTGAAAACTTGGAAATAATTGTATACTTACCTAAATATAAAAAACAACAAAAACAAAAAAATAAAAACTGCGAGACGCAAGAGTCGCGAAATCAGTCTTATTCTTGCCCAAATCTTGAAAGGTCAGTCTTGGTCTTGCTACAATTAGGTGGTCTTGGTCTTGCTACAATTAAGTGGTTTTGGTCTTGCTACATTTAG